TCGGTTCACAACCACGCCTGAAATCTCGATTATCACTTTATCATGCGAGAGTATAAAATGTTCGGTGACACCCGAACTTAGCCCTTCCTTACTTGTTTCGTTTATAATAGTTATATACAATCTTATTGCACATCTTAATGGAAATCAACTGAACTGCAAATTGCTCTAATATGTGTATATCTAGACTTTGGTAAGCTTACCATATATCCATGAAATACTGATCGTTTCTAAAATCGCTAGGCCAAAAATAACAAAAGTTCCTCCATAAAAGTCCACTAAGTTTAATATCCATTGACCTCCCTGAAAGCGAAAAATAATATAAATATATATTATATTATTATTACATAAATATCTAGTGGTCAATATTCACTACCGGTGTAACGTATATTATGCTCGCCAGAAATCCACATACACATGTCACCAGTGCTACTTTCCAGTATCGAAGTGATTTAAATTGATCGCATATTATAGTGACAATTGTACAGTGTAGCGCCACAATGGATCCAACCCCCAATACAAACAGCATGAAAAAGAAAAGTATGGCGAAAATCTGGGGAACTGCTTGAAATTTTGCAATGGCATCCGGATATGAAATGAAGGCAAGACCAGTACCACTTTTGACGACCTCTTTGATGTCTGTAATTTGAAGGTTATGCGCCAAATTTCCAAGAATGCCAAAAATAGATACACCAGCCAGTAAGCTTGTAAAGGTATCTAATGTTGTAACGATCATAGCATCCCTGAAAACATAATTCATTATATATCTAGGTATTTATATCTTCATCATGTAACTATACATATATCCCCTATATACTCACAATCATAATAAATATAGTTTAAACAAGTATGGAAGGGATAAGTTGGGGTGTAACCGAACATTTTATTGAATTTTCTGATACCGCATGTATCGTCCAATATGTATGCTATCTTAACAGGAGTAGTTGGGTATTTTTCTCTAGAAATGGTGCATCGGTCCTCTTAAAATGATTGAAATTGGGTGGAACTCTGCTCCAAAATAACTATTATCAGAATTTTTTAAAATCCATCTGACTTTACACGATATATATTGGTGACATCGTATGTTTGGCAGTAAAATTATTCGGTCAATTTAATTAAAAAAATGAAATGGGGACATTAATTGTTGAAATATGTATATTCTCTACCAGGGTGAAAGGATTCGTAGACGAGTTGTGAACGCTTACTATGATACCGGGGTTAAAGTAAATGTGTTGTAAAGAGATGCTTACTGTCATATTTTTGTTAATTACAGTTTAAAAAGATCTTTCGTATCAGACGCGATCTTTATGATGATCTCGTGTTATGCCACAAGAAGCAACAAAGGAGGAAGAATACAAACATCAGCCGTAACTTACGTGTTTGCATTTTTCTGGTATGCTGCTATAAAGAATATCTGTCGAGAACAGAACGGGTCTCACTATCTGTCCACACTGAAACAAAACAGTTCTTAATAAGTAAGGAAGGGCTAAGTTCGAATGTAACGGAACATTTTATACTCTTGCAACTTGCAACTATAAGAGCCGGCTAAATACTTGTACATACCTTCAGGTGAAAGATGTATCGAAAGGGTTTAACTTCATTGTTCGACGAAATTGTGAATTGATTACAATAAAAGCGAAAATTTTACTAAAACATCCTCGATTTTATCTATTTCAGCCGATACCACATACTATTAACATACCACATTCTATTTAAATGCTCTCTCGGTTCATTAACGTACCTCCCATACCATCACCTATCTACTTATATTGGATAAAGTCAACAGACGTCACCTACGATTCAATTCAAAAACATTATACATGCAAAAATTTATTCCGCTAATGTTATGTTAATTGATGCTTTTTCAGATGGAATTTCAAATTGTTTATTTCTTTAGTTTGGAAGATATATACTAATATATATATTAAACCTATTAAGAGACACGTCCACGCTCTTTTCTAAAAATTTTCAATCCGAAAGTGCCTCTCTTTATTGTGATTCGTTGTGCCAAATGTATCTTTATCTTAATTTGCTGCTTAGTTGTGGCACTTAATAGGATTTCCGATGGATGGTCCGATTACGTATTGTAGAAACTTAATTTGGTGTCAAGGAACATATCTACTAAGGTTCAACAAGATATCTTAATTTTACTCTACTACTTTTTTAACTCGTCTCGTCATCCTGATCATTTCATTTATAAATATATGTAAATAGCCGTTAGGTGAACAAAACTATTATACTCTGTAGCAACATGATGCAAGAGTATAATAACTATTTTGGCTACATAGAAGATGGGATGTATGTAGTTTTGTATTGTATGTACTGACTATGAACCATTATTTGATCTTTTGTCATTTCTAAAATAGAACATTTTTGCAGAGTGTTTTGGAACATTAGTACAATGATGCCATATAATGAGTCAACATTTCCTCCTCTTCGTTTAATACACTTTAAAAGTATTTTTTACCATACTCTTGATTATTTTGTTACAGTTCCATTGGGTGTTGGTGACACAAAAAAGTTACTTCTTCTTCTTGATTGGCGTAGACACCGCTTACGCGATTATAACCGAGTTAAACAGCGCGCCAGTCGTTTTCGCTACGTGGCGCCAATTAGATATTCCAAGTGAAGCCAGGTCCTTCTCCACTTGGTCCTTAAAACGGAGTGGAGGTCTTCCTCTTCCTCTGCTTCCCCCGGCGGGTACTGC